AAGGTGATGTGTATTTTAACTTCGGTACTATAGAATGATTTATACATTTCTAGAAGTATTTATTTAGAATGATAATATAAATAGTGATCTCCAGGTGTATTTTAGTATAATTGATATCTACTAAATATTGCTAAATTGTACGTGTGAAAATTGTTACAATAGAATTTTTTTTCTGTAGCCTTTTGAGAACTTCAAGTTAAAAGCTTAAAGAGAAAATGCCTACTATTAATGGAGGTGGGCACAATGAAGACAATATTGCATTGTTGTCTTTTTGAAACTCTTGCTTGTGTGCACTTGTACTCACCTGTACTTGGAGTTGTGGTGGCTATGAAGAAGAGTTAGTGGAGATGCAACTAACTAGCCTGTGTTTTCAGAAGCATGATTTATATTGGGGACAATATTGACACATGGATTCTTTTAGGACATCAATAAACCTGACACATTTTTAATTCTGATGAAAATAACCTGCGATATTCTTCAGAGTACTGAAGAATTGTATTGGTTCCTAAAATACACCAGATTCTTTCCATATAAAGCCTTCATATATTTTGACCTGGAATAATGTCTTTCTCTGTCTTCGTTGGACAAAATACCACTTGTCATCAAAACCTAGCCCTAACATTGCCTGCACTGTGAAGACTTCCCTGTCTAAGTCAGGCTAAATAGATGGAATGTCTACTGTGTACTTATGGGAAAAGGAACATATGAGTTCATATTTTAGATGTTCTGACTATGAAACATAGTTTTCTAAAACTTTTTTATGCGCTACAACTCCAAGAGTACAGTTATCATACTTACTGTGGTTTGCATCTGGCACATAGTAAGTGATAAATAAATAGTTTTAATAGATCAAGGGAGTGAAGAAATGTAAAACATGAAAGCTCAATATAATTTGATTTCAATATAATTTTAAAAGAAATACCTACCTAAGCTTCAAGCAGAGGCATTTTTCTACATGTGAAATAAATCTGTGTGTCATTAACCTTAAAAATTACTTGCGTGCCCTGAATTTTATGAGAGAGAATGCATTAGAAAGTGTGGACTGCTGTCAATTTAGTTATAAAATTATTTATTCAACAATAGACAGATTAAAAACTGCATAATCTGAACAGAATCTTTTTTAAATTCAAGGATGACATCTGAATAGTTCCTTAAATCAGATTTGAAAAACAAAACAGGGAAGGCACTATTCTCAGGTATATACATAGCAAAGTTGACTATAAAAAAGTGGACGAGAGTATGGTTTTAAAAGAATTAATTTTTCAGTTAAAATTTGTGATTCATAGCTCATTTATAACCCATTATACCCCCAGGGCTCATAAGAGTAGGTTATAGATGCAATGAAAAAGTATGTTTCAGGATTTACTGGAATTAAGAGAATGCAAGATTTTATTTCCTAAAAAAATATAACTTAATGATGTAAAAACAAACACATGACATCGAATGAATAGCTACTGGTTTATTGTCAATGAATAGTAGAAATAATTTCATATTTGAAATGAAAAACCAGAAGCCCAGCCAGCTCTGTTAGCTGGTTGGGCAAGTTTAGGCAGAGTCACTTACATCCTCAGTGTCTCAAGTTCTTCTTCTAGCTTTAAAATGTAGCAGATATTTTATTATTTGAAGCAGGTGAACTCTACGACTAATCCCTTACCCTCAAATTCTAGTACTACCTTTGAACCATGTGCTCTACTACTAAGTATCGATGTGACCTGCATTCCTTCTATGATGACATGAATTGTACATGCCACCAATACTCAATTATAAGGAAATTCCTTAAAGTATCATCATAAGAATAAATCCCTTATAGGTATTTCTTACAGTTAATCATTCTGTTGCCATCTGATATTGTGAATCCCATTTGAAGACAAGAACCACACAATTGTGTCACTTTAAAACTAAATATTATTGAATGTGTAATAGCGTAGATATGTTCAAGAAAAATTCAAATATTGTACTAGAGTAGATTAGACATCCAGGTGCTAAATTTCTCCTAAACCATTTTGCAAAGTAAAAAACAATTATAAGAACTTTACTCAGGGATAGCACTAATGAATCCAAGGTCGTTGGTTCAATTCCCATGTGAGCCATTAGCTTCATTTCATTTACTTGTCACAGACTTGCTACCCTCTTAACCCTGACTCACCATCCTTCTAATTCTTACTAGTGGTCACAAAGGAAATTTGGCAAGACTGTCTGGAAGCATAATAAAAAATCTATCCCCACTTCAAGAAAACAACTCAAAGGTCAAGCTTGAGCAATATGACATCATCCAAGAATGGAGAAGCCACGCTATCATTATAATTGCTTTTATTACTACTGTTATCAACGATCACTATTGTGCTGACAGTATAATATAGTGGCTAACAGAGCCAGTTCTGGAATCAGAATGGGCACATTTGAGTCCTAACTCCCCCATAATAATGTTTATTATTAACATTAATAAATTGTTGATAAATTGTTGATAAATGCTTTCAGCCTAATTTTTCTTATTTTCAAGGCAGAAATTATAGTAGTACTTCATAGGTTGGTCATTCTCCCAAATAACGCACAAGTCCCAGTCCATCCTTGGAGTTAGTGCACAATCCCGTCTCACTCTTACCACGAGTACCCCTCACCTTCGCTGACCCTTTACTTCACCAAACACAATATTGTTTTCCAGCAATTGATCTCTCCCTGATGACATGTCTAAAGCACACAGGTTGGACAATGTCTGCTGCAGTACATCAGGTTTTTATTGGCTAATCAAAAGTAGATCACCAGCCTTTTCTTCCTAGTCTCTTAATCTGGAAGCACCACTGAAACCAGTCCACCATGGTTGACCCTGCGGATGTTTGACCTACCAGTAGCATAGCTTCCAACATCATATTCGGATGCAAGCCACCACAGTCTGGCAAACTGACAGGTGGCGACCTATATGACAAACAACAACAAAAACAGCTATAACCAGTCTCACTGCCATCAAGTCGATGCTGACTCACAGTCACCTATAGGGCAAGAGAGAACTGCCCCATGGGTTTCCCAGACTACAGTTGTTTACAAGAGTAGAAAGTCTGTCTTCTGTGGAGCTGCTGCTGGTTTTGAACTGCTGGCCTTGTGAATCGATGGGCCCCTGAAGCCCTTCATAAATGCTAGCTATTGTAATTGACCTTTGATTTGTCGTGTTCAGAGATCTATTTAGCAGTTGCTTAGGAGCGTATCATGAAGACAGGAGGAGAGGAGAGAAGGAAAGGAGAGGGGCTGCAGTGAAGAACGTTCTATCAGTTTCCCAAATCAGAAGCCTAGTACTTCTTTAGAGACAATGATAAACAGCTTCCACAGGTTCCTGAAATCTCACTTGTAACTACAATAACGAAGTAACCACTCTTCAGTGTAGCCGAGGTAGAGTCATTTGTAAAGGACATTGCTAAACACTTGCCTTTGGACCTAAAATAAGAAAGAAGGCAAGGAGAGCAGACTTTTACATATGACAAACCGCTCAGAGAGTCTTGTCATGCTTTGGCCAGAGTATGTATCACAATCCTGGGAAAGACACTGTCCCCTTCATGCCATGGCCCTGGGCAGAATCCTTTGTTACTGTCAGAAACATGAAACTCATTGTCACTACTGAGTCTCTGCTGACTCACAGTGACCCTTTAGAACAGAGCCGAACGCTCTTGCGGGTTTCGGAAACGCGACTCTTCAGGAGAATCGAAAACCCTGTTCTGCCTTGGCTGCCACCGCTGGTGTGGGCTGCCATTTATTGAGACAAGTACTCTGGATCTGATTTGGGAGGTTAGAAGCCTTCGGCAGCTTTGAGACAAAAACTGGGTAACTGTCAGATTGGTGGGCAAAGGAATTCCTATAGTAAAAATCTTTTTAAATGAACATTTATTTCCTTTCTCTTTTGAAAAGTATCCTTGATAGCCTCTTAAGCCCAAGTGAGGTGATGATGTTCTGAGGCTGCCCTGAGTCCTGGATGCCCTCAGGGTAGTCATGTGTTGTCTCAGTGTATTTTGCATCCTTGTTCCTCTTAGCAGTTGCCCAGTCAAAACCTACTGTCCATAAAGAAATAAATAACACTTTCTTATTCAGGCATTTAAGAGAAAGATGGGGCTTTCTACTCCTGTAAACTGTTACAGTCTTGGAAACTCACAGGGGAAGTTCTGCCTTGTCCTAAAGGGTCACTATGAGAGCATCAACTCAATGCAGTTAGCATTCTGGCATTTGAACCAAACTAAAAGTCGTATAGGCATCTACTTAAGGGATAACCGAAAGAGATAAAGAATGGGTGATGCTCCACTGACAGAGATTTAATATGTGACTTGGAAAGTTCCCATCCTATCGCATCACCATGTCCAAACTTCTTCTGCAGAGCAATAGTGCTTCCAGTGTATTGATGCACATACACGTGTTCACACTATAGCCAAAGGCAGCTCCGTGTAACAAAACTCTCAGTGGTAGAATGCTATCCTCTTTGGTCACAGTTATGATTTAATTTAGGAGCTATCTATCTGCCAATGAGATCCTGGGAAAGAAGGAGTGCTGTCATAGAAGATGATGGTGCAGATTCTGACACTTGAAAATGGACGTGCTTCTCAAGAGAAGAGCCTACAACTCTAGTGCTGAAATTCAGAGAGAAAGCTGGAAGGTTGCCAGATGTGTAACTGCATCTGGAAGTGAGCTGTCGTCCTTCCCACTTCTGACAAAAATAAGAATGAGAAAAGCGATAAGCCACCTTTGTTTTAAATGGTGCTGTTTGTTTGACATTCCATCTAAAATACTTTTCTGACATTTTGGTTAAGGCTGGAGAGAAACAAAAATGATGATATGGTTAGTGGAAGAGGGGTGGAGGAAATAATGTATTTAGTAGAGAAAAAAGGAAAATTGTGTTTGGGGGATTTTTTTGTGAGGGGAGATAAAAAGAAATCTTATATTTTGTGAGAGAATAGTAAATCATGTTATGTTGGCTTCTGTAAAACAAAAACTTATATATGACTTTTTAAAAAACCATCCCTTAGGTTTACAACATATGGATATAAGCTCTTTGTACACAACAGTGTGGGTTTCACGCCAAGTCAGGAAGCAAATGGGACGACATTAGCTGGGCCTCCACAGAGAGGAGCCAACCTCACTGCACATGCTCTTAACCACACGGCTATCCACGTGGAGTGGACGAAACCAAGTGAGTACCCTGCGCATCAGCTGTAGAATCCGGGCTTGTGTCTGTTTCCGTGGACTGTTGAACAAATCTGCAGAAACTGCCGTGGCTTAAAGCAAGGGGAGATTATTCCCTCACTGTTCTGGAGATTAGAAATTCTGAAATCAAGGTGCCAGCTCAGTGAGGTCCTTTGGAGAACTCTGCGGGAGGGACAATCAGTTCCATCTTTCTTCTGGCTTGTGGTGGTGCCAGCCACCAAGGCTTGCTGTCCCTTGGCTTGTAGCTATGTCCCAATAGCAATCAAATATCATTTTCCCTGGGTGTGTTTTTGTGTTTACTTCTCTCTTCTTATAAGGATATACGAATCATATTGGACTGTGACCCACCCTGCTCCATCCAGTATGTCCTCATTTAAATAATTGTTTCTGCAAAAGCACTACTTTTTAAAAAAAGATCATAATTTTTAACAAGGTAGGGTGGTAGTAGTTACATGTTCGGCTGCAATCCAAAAGATCAGCAGTTTGAAACCAACCAGCCGCTCCTCAGGAGAAAGACTGGGCTTTCTACTCCCAGAAAGAGTTACAATCTCAGCAACTCACACAGGCATTTCCACCCTGTCCTATATGGTCACTCTGAGTCAGTATCAATTCAATGCCAATGAGTTTGGTTTTGCTGGGGTTTTGTCTTGTTGGTTTGGGGTTTAGGACTTAAGCATATCTTTCTGAGGGATACTCAAATAAATTAAAAACAGGCAACTGGACACATTTTTTAAGTCCACTTAATTAAAAGTTGTGCTTCCTTCTGGGAAAGGCAAAAATCTCTATTTCACTTCCATCCTTTTTGGACTTTCACTTTTTTCTTATATCCATTCCATTTGGATTGGGGCTGCGATGTCCATCACACCAGTCAGTTTATATAGAAATGCCCAGGTGTCGATTTAGTACAATATAGTGTTCTGCACTTTCCTTCAGACAGATCTGCCTTGAGTCTGGTGGCTTATCCCTCATTTGCAAGAACTATTAATGGTATTGTAGTAATAGGACAGGTTTTCAGTGAATCTTCCTCAACACTGGTTCTAGGTAGCTTCAGCCTTTCCCCAGTAGACAAAGCCTGGAGCTCATCATTGAACTCACTCCCACAATGCAATTCTGACCCTGGTTCCATTCAGAACATATCTTTACAGGCAGCTGGAAGACCTCAGAGATGGATTGAAATCAGAATGACCCAAATTTCAGGCCTGCTGGACAAGTAGACTAGAGGACCTGTCATCTCTGGGGATCACTGCGGCCATCACAAACAATCTACTCTGACATCACTATGGATTCCACAGTGTGTTGTGATCATTCTTGTAGCTCTAACTCAATATCTGACAAATAATTCCTTAAATCAAAATTTGCTAGAATATTATCAAAGATGATAAATATCTGATTTGGAAAGGCATGATTAAAATATTTTATTTTATGAAAGAACATTTTTCTCACAAGGATACTCATCTCTGAGTTGGCATTGACTCAATGGCAGTGTGTTTGGGTTTTTTATTATATGAAGCAATATAAAATCAGTGCTGGTTGTACAGTAACAACCACTGGATTTTGATATTTTGCTGTACCCTGGGAGAGATATAGGTCTGCTTCAGTTAGGACACTAGAGTAAGTGTAACCTAATGTTCTGTGGTATCAATTGTAAATTAATAACCATAATTGTTCCTGTTACTGGCTAGTGTTCATCCCCAACATATGATGACCCTATGTGTGATGGGTTTTGGTCTTCCTTGGCTGGGTTTTGGAAGTCAACTATCAGCCTTGCATCCTCGTTCATTTTTGTCTAGAAGCTCTGCTGACACATGTTTTATATCATAGAAACAGCCAAGCCTTCACTGACAGGCAGCTAAGAGGTCACGGTGCATGAAGTGCATGGACCAGGAGTGGAACTCAGGACTCCCTCATGGAAAGGGGGAACTCTACCCCTCTGTCACCACAGCCTCCAAAGCAAGGATTAGGTGATGCTAATTGCAAATTAAAATCAATACCAGTTGTATTGATCTAAATTGTCCCTAACCCATTTTTCAAAGGATTATCTCTCCTAGGGTAATTATAAGGTTGTAAGTGTCTAAAGATCTGTGTCACTTGTATCGGGATCTCTTAAGTCATGCCAATGAAAGCATTAAATTACGTGATGCTTATGATTACATTGCTCACTGAGAAAAAATGCTAAATTTTAAATCTGAAAATAGATTTTGATGTGTAGTATATTTTCACTCATCTTTCTCTTCTTCTGTGTTCCACCCTTACCATCCTATTCAACTTAAAACCTACTCATGATGGTAGATGCTGTCCCCCCTCAAATGACATTTGCATACTTCTCTTAAGATCTGACTGCTGAATTTTCACCAATATAGGTCCTTTACATTATAATTGCATGCCTGAAGTAAGCTTGCTTATAAAAACTGACAAACCTAATAGAGCTGAAGCAGCTCACTGAAGTCTCATTACCTTGGTAATCTGAACCTCTGACCTTCTGCATGTAGGCAATGCAATCTGCTGTTATTTCCATTCAGACCTCAGAAGTTTCTCAGATAACTATTTGTGAGCACAAAGGTTAACTCCCAGGAAAGGGTCATCGCTCCGAAAGCTTGTTGCATTATCATTTTCCCCCTTTATGCAACCTGCTACCCTAGTCACTCCTCTGTGAAAGAGTCACCTAGTTCTGTTTTTGGTAATTATATTTTCAAACTGATCTCTTGATAGTTAGGAGAAGATTGGCACATAGTCTCTCTAATAGGCAAAATCACAGATCGAAAGTATCTTGCCGCTGAAAGTCATATGAATAAATATCCACATATTTTCTTCTTAAAATTAACCAAAAATATCTTCAGGATTTTTTCTTTAAACCAAACAGCAATTTAGTTTAATTACTAAGCAATGTCTGTCATGTTATTTATGGACCCAGGTCCTGCCCATCTCGTGGATACATCCATCTTCCTCTAAAGCCTTCTTACTTCCCTGTAGATGGGGAAAGAGAAAAAACAGTCTAGTCTTGCTTTGGATTTGACTTCAGTTCATGGTGATCCAAGTATGTCGGAATAGAACTGCACTTTAGAGTGTTTTCAAAGGCAGATTTCTCAGAAACAAATCAGAAATATTCAGGCCATCCAAAAGTACCTCTTTCATCTGAGATGTCTATAGGGTAGACTAGATCACCAACTCTGGTTAGCAACCAAACACATTAACTGTTGACATGCCCAGTGATTCCAAACAAGCAATTCCAAACCAAAACTCACTGCCTCCGAGTCAATTCTGACTGATCGTGACCCTGTGGGACAGGATAGATGTGCCCCTGTGGGTTTTGGACATTGTAACTTTACTGGAGAAAACAACTCCTTTCACTCCCTAGGAGCTGCTGGTGGTTTTGAACTAGTTGACTTAGCAGTTAGCAACCCCACTTGTAACCATTACGCCACCAGGGTTCCTGAGATAATCAACTGGAGATGACTAATTGCTCTTTAGTGTCTCTGCTAGAATGTTACAAACTAATCACATGACCTCCTCCAGATGGGAAGGCCTAGGATATGTAGTCTAACTAAGTATGTGATAGAGAAAGGAAAACATGTCAGTGAATGTAGGGATCTGTTCCACAATTTTTATTTAACATAATGTGATTAAATATTAAATTTACAATTCTATTAGTGATTAGTGACGTCTTCATTTAACGTACCAAGACTTTGTATTTTATACATGAAAAAGAATTTGGCATAATGTTACTTTCTTTGTGTTACTTTCCTATTGTGCTTAATGCCAGGTTTATAAATTATTATTATTATATAATTATTTCTCACAATTATTTTCTAAATGCTTTCAATCTTTATCATGAATTCTTAAATATTTCCACTATTGAGTTCTGGGTTAATTCATTTCTCTATCATTTATAGAATGTTACTAGATCATTTTATCAGAATAGATCAATGTATATCACATAAATTCATTGTGTATTCTATAATGTTTGGCTATTTTAAAATCATTTATTTTTACAAGTTATATGATACTTTATATATACATGAAATTCTTAAAATAAAATATTTTCAATCAAACTTACCGAAATTGTCCCATTGTCTCTGACATTTAGTGTTACAGATTAGAAGTCAGACACTTGCCTGACTTTTTATCATTTGTAGATGATCTTTTACCTTTTGGTTTACCTTTGAAGCATAAGACTGTTCTATATGTCTACATTTGAACTTATGTCATTCTATTTATCCCTTTGATCTTCTATACTCATCTCTCAATGCATTCTGTTTAGTAAACACGTTCCTTCCATACCTCAATTTTGGATAGAGGGAGAACACTGGATGGTTATTTCCTTTGTAGTTCCCACAAATGTCTTGGACTCCCGCTGTATCCATATCCTTCTGCAAACTACATTCTCCCTATTCTCTCCTTCAATTTCGGATTATATGATTTACATGCTTATGGTGAGTGATGATGGTGTGTTTTCCATGTGGACATAGTTGGCTCACTTAGATGGCTGCTTGTTTAGAGACAAGCCATTAAGACCCCAGATGCTATTTTGTCTGATAGCCAGGCACCATCTGATTTACTCATCAATTTTGCTATAGCACCCATATCTTCTGTGTTCCTCTCCTGAGGGCAAGTACAAAGCAGGGCCATGTTGTAAGAACTAATTGTTTTTAAGTTGGAGCTAGGATTTAGTGTGAACCCAAGTCTACGATTGGATCTATATTTTGTTTGTTTATTTATCTGCTTTTGGCTCCCTTTCAAAACCTCCCTGTTAATTTATGGTAAAGGGTCTTATCAGTCATCCCCCTGGGGCATAACTATCTTCAGTTAATATTGTCTTTTATTAGTCAATGGTACTAATTTTTTTTAAAATCCTCTTGAGAGAGGGATATTGGACCCATATAGGCTAACTCCGTATCGCAGTACCTGAATTATTCACGTATACAAATCAATCTAGACACTATTTACACAAACACTAGGGATTAATTGTCAGGGAAATTTACAATAATA